CCTTTTTGTTTTTTTTTTTTTTTTTTTTTTTTTTTTTTTTTTACAGTGCTAGGCACACACCTCAGATCTTGGGCATGCTAAGCATTGCTCTGTCATTGAGCGACATGTCTAGCCCAATTTTCCGTTATCTGCACATGAAGAAGAATAAACTAGATTTTGGACTAATGGACTAGCAGCTGCAGCTTTCTTTTTCCTCTTTTAGGATTACCAAATACTCTGACTCTGATATCTACCTATGAAAAGCTAAGGTTGACACTAAGATTGTCCCAGTCCACACACAAGGACATTTCAGGACCACTTCACATCCTCAGCTTTCAGAGGGGAGTGTGGCTAAGATGTGTAACCCGTCCTCCACCATGCGTTCTGCTAGTTACATAGAACTGGGAAGAGTCCGTGCTGTTGTGTATCTTATGCCTCAGAATAAAGTCATCTGTTGAATGGCTTGACACATAAAAATCTCTTAAAATGTTCAGATCTCTCTTGCTTTCTTACTTGAAGTTATGATAATGTCAGCTTCCTACAGTGTAAAATCCACTTAGTAATATTTGAGAATCAAAGGAAAAATACAAGATATGCTTGTCTAGTGTTAACTTCCTTTCAGAGGAGGGCTGGAGGTGGCGGCACACAACCGTAACCCCGGCACTCTGGAGGCTAACACAGGATGGATGAGCTCACAGACTGCACAGTGAGCTCCAGGCCTGTTTCCAAGAGAAAACTGTGCACTTGCTGCATAGTAAGAGATGTAGAGTGAACGGCAGAAATTGCAGTGTACTGCTCTGTATAGCAATGCCTTTTCTTTATTAGTAGGAAGAACAAAACTATATATATATATATAAAAGCTGTATATTTATATCTGAAACTAAAAGATTTCATTTTTAGATATTTAATAGACATTCCTGAGTTTCCTGAGTAACCCCCCCCCCTTTGCCCCTGCGAGTAACCCAATGATTTTTTTCAGGTTATCAAATTTAGACATCACAGAAGGTTGGCACCAATATTTTCTAAGCCAAACAAAATTGATCCTTCTTCTATTATCTATTGTTTCAGCCCTTCCCAGCCAGTCCCAGTTGGTTTTTAATACTTTTCTGACCTCAGAAATGGTCGCTCTTAGTTATATAAAAATCAGTGTTTGGGCCGGGCGGTGGTGGCGCACGCCTTTAATCCCAGCACTCGGGAGGCAGAGGCAGGCGGATCTCTGTGAGTTCGAGACCAGCCTGGCCTACAGAGCTAGTTCCAGGACAGGCTCCAAAGCCACAGAAAAACCCTGTCTCGAAAAACCAAAAAAAAAAAAAAATCAGTGTTTGGAAAGTAAGGCATTATCATTAACCACTTACTGTAATTTATCTTCAATTTCAGGTTAAACATTGTTTTTGCTCTTTCTAGTTCCTAATAAAATAGTTACTGCAGATTTCTAGTGGCAGTTTTCAAAAGGAATTTGTTTCATTAATTATAATCTCTTTATAATCTAGTATTAAATTATAATGTAATAAGCGTTTTTGTTATAATGTACATCTCCTTTGACTTTGTTACAGTACACTGGATTATATGGTGCTAGTTTTTTCATAGGGGCTTCATGGCCCAGCCTCTGACTTCCATGATCACCTGCACTTATGCACACAGATACGCACACACCTACATTTCATTAAAAATAATAAAAATTAATTGTTACTTTGCTAATAACTAGCGGTGACATTAATTGAATAAAACCAAAAGTTACTCAAGATCGGGCTGGCAAGATGGGCCAGTGAGTACACGCACTTGCTGCTGAGCATGCAGACCTGAATTCATTTCCTAGGACCCAGATGGCAGAGAGAGAAGAGACCCCTGCCAGTTGTTCCTGCATGCACACACAAAATAAATAAATGTAAAAATGGTTTGAATTTGAATTTAAGAATTATACAGTTTGTGCTAAATTATAATTTATGAGTATATAATATTAGGACTTCTTTAGATTTCAGAATTTATTGGCTTATGGCTTCAGAAAGCACAAAGAGCTTACCAGATACGAGGCTTTGTGTATTTTTAACTCTGAGCCATAGAATACATAACTACAATATGCTCTGTGGTTATCATTTTCAGTGTCAGAAGTTGTGTAATACCAGTGTAGGCCACAAGGTGGGAGTGAAAGGCAAGGACTTGTATCCAAACAGCTCAAATACATAATGCATTATCTTTATAAGCCTTTTAGATGCTTATTAGATAAAGCAGGAGCTGTAGTTTGGTTACTTCTTGTGTTACAGTTTCATTTCTTATTTTAAAAAACTATAACAAAAGACAAGGGCATTGATTTACATATATAGGCCATTATTAATAAATACCAAAGGACAAAGTGTCAGAAATATTTTGTCTCTAAATTCCTGGGCATTGAAGTGCTTGGTGATTAGAGTAGTAATTTTGATTAACTGAATATGAAAAATTTCTTTAATTACCATTAGTAGAGACAGTAATCAAAGAAATGACTGAAAATTCTTTGTATTTTTTTTTTTTTTTAGTTTTCATTTCCCTTGATCTCATTTAAAGAAAAAAGAACCTATTGTGTTTTTATGGATACACAAAACCTCTTGTACTGTGTGTGAGAGAGCACACACACATTAATGTGATTGGTTTTAATTAGGTGAATGCTGTATTATGTTTTCCCGTTTGAGTTTGGAAGCATGTAAAGTGATCATTTCTTTTCCTCCTAAGGGGAGAAGACAAGTTTCTTCTGGAAAAGAGCCCTCAGCGGACCTCAGCCTCCCTTCACATCAGCACAGGTGCTTCTAGAACCTTTGCCAACTCAAGACTTAAACAAATTAAATATGCAATATTTTGTATGTTTTTAAAATTTTTAGCAATTGTAAAAGAAAAAATAGTTGTTAACCCCTGAAGTGGACCTGCATGGGAAGCTGCCCTGACTGCATCATATGTTACAGCAGAACTAGATCTGAAAGCTGACTTCTCTAGCAGTGCTATTTCAGCCTGTATCATGGCCGGATTGTTGGGTGTGATGAATCCTGATGTGAGCCAGACTGAAGAGTAATTAATACTCTATTCATGATGCTCATGGAGAGCATCCGTGTGACATGGGAAGGGGTAGATACACTAACATGCAGGGCAAATGATCCAGACCTTTTATCATTTGTTTTGGGCCTAGCTTTTTAAATATTAGAATTGCTTTTAGCATATCTTCTACAAATTTAAATTTTAGTTTTAACATTTAACCTTTCTATAATTCTGTGACCCATAAAAACTATGCTGTATATATTTAATTACAATAAAAAATCATTTTAATTTTTAACCTTACATTTTAAAATATTGATTTGTTTTTAGGGATAATATAGAGAAGACTTTCTGGGACCTTAAGGAAGAATTTCATAGGATATGCTTGCTAGCAAAAGCACAGAAAGACCACTTAAGCAAACTTAATATACCAGATATTGCAACTGGTAAGATTTAATTTATCTTATAGTAATTTTAATTGTACTGGTTGAAATAATTTAATTTTTAGTTTAAAAATAATTCCAAATGCTTATGAAAGGCTAATACTCTGCATCTTGCCCCTTATGGTTAAACATATATATGCTATTAAATTCTATGCTGTATGTTGTAGAATTTTTGCTTTTTCACTGTTTTTTCATTGCATATGGTACTGTATAGACTTAAGTGAATAGCCTAATTACCAGTCAGCTTAATGAGAAGTACCGTCTTCAAAATATAGGACACATCTCTATATTTTTTTTTAATTTGGGGGTCATGTTAAACATTAACTCACATGTCAGTAAGTGACCCTAAAGCAACACTACTATATCTGAACTGATTAAAATTATAACATCTCCCTTGTTTATAACCAAGTTCTGCCCGAAATGTCATCCAACAGTACTTAGAGTTTCTGATGATCTAGCTGAAGAATGGAAATATGGAGTGCACATTTCCTGAGAGCCACTTCTCTTGGCGGCACAAAATAAAAACTGAGTATAAAATGCCACCTAGGAACATCTGTGCGTGCGTGTGTGTGTTGGATTTTTGGGTTAGTTTTGTGTGTTGTGTGTGTGTGTGTTTTTAAGCTCCAGACTGGAATTTTTGTAGTTGCTTCACAGTTAAATATTAATAACAAAATATCAGAACATATTAAGTCTAGCATCTGGTCACACCAGTAAACAGAAAGTAAAGTGATCGTTTAGAATGATGGGTTCCTGTGTGCCCTGTGATTTGGAATATCCTCCAGGCAGTTCCCTAGTAATAGATTTACAGTCTTCACTCTGAGAGATGTCGCAACAATGATGACTAGCATGTCCTTCATTGAAGGTCCTGTTTTTTTCTGTGGCTCTCATATCATAACGTTTAAAATCACTGATAGCAGAAGCTCTCTTTTTGCTACTACCTGTAAATGGTGAGCGGCAGGAAAACAACCTTTGTATATAGACATACTTTGTGTGTCCCTGCTTGCCAATCTTCCTATCTTTTCAAAAAGTACTCTTAATTTCTCCATCTTCATGTTTGTAACGTTCATGGAAAATTGTTCTTTTCCACAAACTGAAGATACTAGAAATCAGCAGTCTCACTTGAAATAGGCTAGCTGCGTCTAGACTTCATAAGCACGCTCTTTGAGCATCAACATCTTATCAAAACATTGTAATAGTGATATAGTCTTTGTTATGCAGAGAACATAACCCATTATCAATTATTTAATACTTTGACCATTTTTAAATTGCATAAGTCTAACTCTTAGTATGTATCTGTCAACCTGAACACTGAGTGTTTAACTTCAATTTCTTCCTCACGAAAGCTGCTTAACATTATTCTTATGCTTTACATTAACTGTGTCACAAATAGTAAGTAAATCGTTACCCTTGAAATATGTAAGATCTGTATTCAATTGAATAAGGCTTTGCTTGGTTCAAACAAAACACAAAATGTTAAGTATTATGCCCTGACAGTATAGCTTTATACTGTCTCTTACTGTATATTAGGGGAAGGAATGAAGACAGAAACACACCGTGCAAGGTTTCCAGTACATGTGTTATTTATTGCCATGTCTCTTCTGGTCATTCTCAGGGTAGGAACCTTGAGAAAGGATCAAGATAGAGCTGTATGTTTAAGCAAATATTTTCTAGTGAAGAGTTGCTAGTCTAAAAGCAGGGTCCCATTTAATTTTCCACTGGACAAGAAGAATATAGGATTGGGTTATAGACAATCATTAGCTCTTCTGTCAGTATTCATGATAATTTGCAGAAGTAGTCTGACCAGCTTATATATAAATTTGGAAATTAAAATTTTTCATTTTACTTGTTTTCCATGCAAAAGTAAGTGTTATTGAAACAAAGTGTGAAGGCTACATGTATGCTCGCTGGCATGTGTGCCTCCGTGTGGTATGGGGTGATAGGTATTTTCATGAACTTTGACCTTTATCTAAGCTCAGACTTCTGATAGGCATAGGCCTCTTAGTTTCTACTCTTACCACATGTACAGATCAACTCTAATTAATTTAATGTGGCAAAGCTCATATACTAACTAGCTATTCAAAAGAAAATGTCTGCTTCCTTATTACAGCTGATTGATGTGTCTCTGTCTTCTTTGAAGGGGGTTAGGTCAGCTGGTAAGAAAGTGACTCCAAGCACAGTTTTGTCAGCTTGATCCTCTGTAGAAACCATCATGTTCAATTTAACCTAATGGTTTTGAGGACACTCCCGAGTTGACTACCTGGATTCTAGTGCCAGATTCAGCACTTGCTAGCTGCACAATCTTGGAAGTAGCCATGGAATTAACCTCCCCGTATCCATCCCTTCACATGTAAATTAGAGATAATAATAGTGCCTGAGTTGGCGTTACTTTGAGTATTAAGTAAATTAATGTACATACCACAGTCAGTGCATGGCACACGGAAGTGCTATCAGTGTTAATAGCCGTTGCCATTAGCAGCAGCTGCGATTCTAAAGCATTTACCTTGTTCTCCTGAAAATCAGTTGAGAAGTTATTCTTTCTCAGGTATTGCTGAATTTTATTCCTGTTTCTTAGCATTTCCTGCCACCCTCAAATCTACTACCAAGAAAACTGACTACTTGAGAGTGAATGGACTTTGTCAACCTCAAAGGTCAAAGAAATTCAGCAAAACAATTGAGTTTGGTCTCAGTTCCTTACTACACTGTTCCTAGTCACAGCCAGAATGGCTAGTAAATGTGGCTTATAATTCTAGATCCTATGAGGAAAAGAATACAGGATCATGTGTGTGCCAGGCAGTAGGTGAGACACCAGGCAAACAGGGAACAGAACGTGGTTTCAGATGTCATAGAAACTTGCTTTAATGGGGGAAGAGAAAACTACTTGCAAATATAAGAGTGTTCAGGCCTCAGAGCACCTAAGCATCATGGGAGAGCCATTCAGAGAATCAGTGTCTAGGTCAAGGTGGTAAGGACAAGTAAGAGTTAGGTGAAGAGCTACGCATAGTAATGACTGTAGCCACCACGCTAGCAAGGCTGGGACTGGGGGACTGAGAGTTTGGGGTAAACCTGGGTGTCATAATGAGGTAGTCTGAGGGAGATAAGGGGGAGATGTGTAGGTGTATTTGCAGAATGAACTAAAGATGGAGGCATTGTACTGCACACCATATCCAAACAGAAGGCTTTTTGTGTTAGAATGTACTATGTATGGCAACAGAGAAGTGTCATAAAACCCCAAAGATCAAAACAATATAAAGAAATTGGCATTTGTTGAGCACCTACTAACATAGACTGTGGAAGGTGCTTTGTACGCCCTGTACTCTTATGCCTGCCTCCTTGGTAAGTCTTCATTTGTGAATGGATGGCTTCACTAATGACAATTTGTCTGTTGAATGAAATACATTGCTGCACGCATAGTACTGCACACTTGTAATTCCAGCCCTTGGGTAGTAGTGTTGGGGTGGTCAGGAATCCAGTGCTAACCTCACTAATTCAGAAATGTTGCAAGGGGTCACTTGTCCCAGCCGCCCAGTCCCAAAATAATCACACAAAAACTGTGTTTAGTAAATCACTGTTTGGCCCATTAGCTCTAGCTTCTTATTGGCTAACTCTTATATTAATTTAACCCATTTCTATTAATTACTCTGTATAGCACCACATGGCAATGGCTTACAGGCAAAGATTTGGCACGTCTACCTCTAGCCGTGCATCCATGGCATCTGTGTCTGCCTTCCTCCTCCCAGAATTCCGTTTAGTTTTCCCCACCTAAATCTGTTCCCCTATACTATAGGCCCAAAGCAGTTCCTTTATTCATTAACCAATGAAAGCGACACATAGACAGAAGGACCTCCCACACCATAGAAATTCCAGACTGACCTGAGCTTCACGAGACCCTGTGTCAAAGACAAAAACAAACAGCCAAATACACTACGAAGCACAGTTGCTTTTTGCAGTGGCATGGTGGAACCTAATTTTGTTTTTCTAGTATCTCAGGATCATAAACATGGACTCTGCTTTGATAATTGTTGTGTGTGTTTGGTTTACTTTGATGCTGTGAAAACAGCTCTTGCTGGCTCGTTATTACATTGTGGCCTTTGGTTTAATTTTTTTTTTTTTTTTTTTTTTTTTGGTTTTTCGAGACAGGGTTTCTTTGTGGCTTTGGAGCCCTTCCTGGCACTAGCTCTGTAGACCAGGCTGGTCTCGAACTCACAGAGATCCGCCTGCCTCTGCCTCCCGAGTGCTGGGATTAAAGGCGTGCACCACCATCGCCCGGCATTGGTTTATTTTTTTTAAGATTTAATTTTAACCATGTGTATGTGGGTATCTGCATGAATGTGGGTGCCTGTCAAGGCCAGAGATGTAGGATTCCCTAGAACTGGAGTTATAAGTGGTTGTGAGCCACCAGGGTGAGTCTGAACTTCAGTACTCCGGAAGGTATGTGCACTCTTATCTCTGAGCCATCTTTTCAGTTCAGTACTATGGCAGTTTCTGAATTCCTAAGTCTCCATTTTTGTTTGGCTTGCCTCCTCCCATACTGCCAGCATTTGCTGACTTCTTGTCTTTCTGTAACAGCTTGTATCTCATTTAATTTGCTGTGATCCCTGTCACTCTGACTGGTTCCTCAGAAGTTCTTTTTGCCAGCATCTGACTATAACCTAGAGATCTTGTTGGAGAAATAACTTCTAGATGAAGGAGCTAACACAGCTCTGGTGCCCACCCCACATCTGCTTGTTAGTTAAAGAGGCCTTTTTAAATATGAAAAAATGACATATACTTTTATATGTATATTTTTACTTTTTTGAGACATTGTCTTACTATATAACCCTTGCTGTCCTTGAACTTGCTATGTAGATCAGGCTAGCCTGGAATTCACAAAGAATCACCTGCCTCTGCCTTTTAAGTGCTGGGACCAAAGGTGTGCAACACCACACCCAGCCATATTGCCATGTAATTCCTTAAAGTGAATCCCAGAATGTCAACCTCTTTGCCTTCACTGTCTTCTTCTTTCCTGACCCTTACTGACACCACCGACTGTAGACAGTGATTAAACTGATTAGAGTTATACTTAATAAGACACTGATATTAGGGGAAATGAATTAACTAATTCATGTAGTAAATAATAAATGCCCTAATTGTGTGTGTGTGTGTGTGTGTATGTAAGTTTACGGTTGTAGCTCTTTTACAAAATAAATATATATGCTACAGCATTGTTGTAAGTGTAAAGCAGTGTAACTGAGAACAAGATGCAGAGCTTATAGCAGAAGACCTAAGAGAAAGACAAAGCAGTTAAGTTGCAGCCTCTATCCTGTGCTCAATTCACCTGCAGGGGACCGCTGTTATCCTCATGGAAGATGGGAGCCAACATAAAAATACCAGTTGTCTTCAGTTAGTATTTAAACCAATAGAAAAACAATAGTCCTCTGCCTAACGCTGTTTCAGCTATTTTTTTTTTTCAATGATTTGAGTGTGACTATTTCCCTTCTGTATCCTTTTCCTGCAGACACACAGTGCTCTGTGCCCATACAGTGTACTGATAAAACAGATAAACAAGAAGCGCTATTTAAGCCCCAGGCTAAAGATGGTATAAACAGAGGTACACCGTGTATCGCATCTGTTACACCAAGAGGACTGGGCCAAGATGAGGAGGACACCTCTTTGGAATCACTTTCTAAGTTCAATGTCAAGTTTCCTCCCATGGACAGTGACTCTGCTTTCTTACATAGCACTCCAGAGACACCGAGCATCCTTATTCCTGACACATCTGAGGCTGTGTGCCAGGATACATTTAATATGGAAGGCAGAGACAACCCAGGAAACTTTGGTAAAACAGAAGAAACTTTATTTGAAATTCGGGGAATTGACCTCATGACTTCAGCTATACAAAACCTTAAAACAACTGACAAAACAAAACCCTCAAATCTTAGAGCTCCGTGTTTGCCAGCTGGAGACCATAATGTGTTCTATGTAAATACATTCCCACTTCAGGACCCGCCTGATGCACCTTTTCCCTCACTGGATTCCCCAGGAAAAGCTGTCCGAGGACCACAGCAGGTAACTCTTTTGCATTAACAAATATTTTATTATGTGTGAACACACATTTTGTCATACGTGCACAGATATGAATCTCTTTTAAGTTATCAGACATCCATTTTAAATTAATGACTATCCAGAGTTGAGGCTTTCAGTAAAATATGTTAAGTTCTGTAATAAAGGACATGAATTTTAACCATGAGTATGATAAAGCTATGTCGTGGTTTATGGCATGATTTTACATGCTTGTTTTCTATCGGTATTCTAGTGGATGCTTTATTAGGTCTGATCTTGTGAACCAAATATTAAACGTTACATGTACACCTAATAACGTGTGATTTTCCATATGTAGATAATTGCACCAATATTCCGGATAGACTGTCTTTCAGTCTGGTTGTCACATTCTCAGTTACTGTCGAGCATGGGTCTGCAGGGTTTAGGGTGGTGGCGAACCCGACACCAAACAGACAGCAGAATGCAGTTCTCAAATAGTGAGTTAGTCAAATGTCGGTTGACTGTTTGTGAAGCACGACGGCTTTATATAGCCCACAAGTCTACCTATAGACTATAGTTTGCCTATAGAGATTCTTTTTGTTAGGGAGAAAAATTAGTTTTGTTTAATTCCTGAATGCAAATGAAAAGTATATAAATGTTCAAATAAATAGAAGCTTGTAGGGGGTAAAATCCTCATTAGAACTTTCAGATGTTTGATTTTCTTTCATTAAAAAAAAAAGTCCTTTGGCTTTAAGTATTCTTAGCAGTTTTAGGCCTTCAAACAGCATGTGCGGAGCAGTAGTCAGACTGTAGTAGGTAAAACCAGGGGCCATGACAAGTCTTAATTATTAACTCTCTGTGTTCTGTCCTGCACCTTATTTCCCATCTCTGCTGCCCAGTGAAACAATGAAACAGTTTCATTCCTTGTGAGTAGAGTTCCTGTGGAGCTGTGGACTGCACCCGTTCTAATGCTTGTTACTCTCCTTCCGCTCTCTCCTGCTTGTTCTTTTCCTCGTCAGTCTGTGCGTTCATGTTTCAGTAGATGGCACCCTGCATTGTGCATTTACTTCCATACTGCAGCGAGAGACACAGCTGCTGTGTGACTGCAACTTGATGGAAAAGTATTCTGCTTAAAAATGCAAGAGAGTTGGTGTTGAGCTGGCACGGGACATGGGCGCAAGGCTAGAGCATTGATAGCTTGGCAGGAGAGCGAAGAGACTGGTCTGACTTAAAGGCCACATTACAGTTTTCATCCGCAAAAGTACTTATTTAAAGGAGTCTTTTTAAACATCATTCTCTTGTACTAATGAATCTCATGGGTACAAATAGTAAGAAAGGAAGTTTTGGTTACTTACTTTGTTTTTATTTGATATTAATCATTACTAACAAATATGTATTTTTCACTTCAGTTCTCACTGTAAAGATAAAATATATATCAGCTTATTTTTGTTCTTCATGATTTTCTCTTTTTACTTTTGCTGAGTCAGTAATTGGGGTTCCAATTAAATTCCAAGAACAGACCCGATCTGAACCAAGAGCTACTGTCAGATTTCAGAAGGAAGTTGTCAGAGGAAGATCGGCTTTCGTGGTTTAGGAACTGGCTCACTTGTAGGCTAATTTCTTGCTGTTTTATAAATCTTAATTTAAAAAATCTTTAAAGTAGTAATTTCATTACTAGCCACGACAGTTTTGCATTAGAGTATTTGAATCTAATCAACTCTTAACTAATTTCCATTTATAATTATTACTGCTTTTCGTTCATCAGGAAAATTTGTCAACAAAAAAAATTCCTTTGCCACAAACTTTACAAAATTTATTTTAAATATTGCTAGTTTTGTTGCAGCAATCACTTCCCCTGAAAATAAACTGAGTCCACATTCTAAGGTGTCTGCACTAACTCCTGAATGTGTCTTGCTCCCTAAGCAGAGCTTATATATTGAACCCTGTACAGCCGTGCTCACTGTTAAATAGCGATGCCTTGAAACCCAGATACTTGGATTAACAGTACTGTTCATGTGCATACTTAGCTAATAGGTGAAGTTAAGACATAAACACTGTCATGCAATGACTAAGCAGTTTCATTAAAATCATATTAGCAATTGGAGCACAAAGGAGTCTCTTTAAATGAGCTATGAGGTGACTGTCTAATTTAGCTTTGTCAGTTTAGCTACATCGGGTGACTTACCTGTGTCCAGGAAAGAATCAGTTGTTAATAATCTGGTTACACAGTTCAGGAAAGTAAGGCAAATTTTTGTCAACTTTTTTTTTATTAAGTACCTATTATTAAACTAATTTCTATATACTATTTTTCTAAATTTCTTAAAAAGATATTCACAAGATTTTATTTACTAATAAGTACAATGGAGGTAATTCTTTTTAGTTACAATTTTCCATAGCTCTTTAATTGGCAACTGTTGGCAGGTTTTTATTTTATTCATCTTCAAGAAAAAAGAAGGCCAAACTGTTAAACAGAAGCAAAGTGGGAAATCAAGAGAGAATGTGTCTCAAGTTAAATTTTGTTGAATGATTTAATATTTCAAATTTTTAACTGACAAATAATTTTTTTAGTCGTTTAAGAGAAACTTTTTGAAGAAATCAGAATGCTGATTATATGTGATTTGTTTATTTGTATTTTGAGTGCCTTTACTAAAAGTGTACCTGTACATGTATTATTCCAATTTAAGGTCCCTACTGTAAAGTAGAAAATACAGAACTTAATAAAGCCTAAAGTCTTGGCCATTGTTTGAAAACTATTGCCAATGTGATAACTGAATATTAATGACGGCTGGTGTTAAGCTGCGGTGTTTTTAAACCTGCAGAGATAGAATTCAGGAGTGTGTGGCTCAGTTGTGCCGACTCTTGCACATAGGGAAGTTCAGATTTAAGCTCATACAAAAGTCATTCAGATATTTGGATTTGAAAGTCGATGTAAGTTGATTTTAAATACAAGTAACAAAGGATGTTTTTGTTTGTTTCCTGCAGCCGTTTTGGAAGCCCTTTCTTAACCAAGACACTGACTTAGTGGTACTAACTGGTACAGACTCGGAACGCCTTAAACCTCAAGTGTGTGAATTCTGTCAAGAGCCTTTCCCACCGTCCATGACTTCCAGGGGGGATTTCCTCAGGCATCTTAATTCACACTTTAATGGGGAGACTTAGGGCACATTTGAAAACAGACATAGCAGGCTCTCTGTGATGTTCTGGATCTGTAATGCTGGAAAATACTTGCTTTTAAGCTAAATTTAAGATGGTTTATAAAAGAAATTCACTGTCACTGCTATTTGAGTATTTTTCTAAACTTGTCACTTGTCTTCTGAGAGATCATTTTGTATAAAAATAATTCATTATATTCATGTTTACACTATTATAATAATTCAAATTTTGTATGTGACTTCGAGTTACATAATCATAATTTATATCTCAGATACCTACGCTTACTGTTTGGCTCATGAGATCTATTAAATTTGGTAATATCAAATGTGTGTAGGATTTCACTTGAATTTTTAAATTATTTATGCTACAGCTAATTTCTTTTAAGATACATAATATAATTTACAGAGAATAGCAGACAATATAATCATAAGTAAATATTGAATCAGACATTAGTTGCCCAGTGAAAATTATTTAAACATTTTAGATTATATTTTTAAATAATGCACATGGTTTTAATTTTTACTATGTGTATAGATGCATGATTAAATGAATTAAATATTAAAATTTACATGTGTTGTGATAATAAAAGTTTTCTCTTTTTCTGAGGTAAATAAATAAATAACATTTGGGGAACGTTCATAAAATTCATGTCTCATAGCATTTATTACACATTAATAGGTCACTTTAAATTTTAAAATGATCTTTCAAACTAAGCATCCTAAAAAAAATCTTTTATTGAGAACAAATGCAAAAGCCTGTAAGGAGAATACATATTTATTAATTTAGATTTAGAAATGTTCAAATTTGTGTTGAGAAATTTGCTATTCATTGTTAGCAGGCTGATTGATGGCCACTGGTTTCAAGACGTCTGCAAGAGGGTACCAAGTATGCAGTGCCGCAAAACTGTTCAAAATGAGACTTCCCTTTCATTCCTCGTGATTCTTGCTGTTTGGGCTTCTCTCCCCTCCCCACTCTATCCCCAAATTTTGAAAATGGTTGAGACACGGCTTCCATTTTATGAAGTAAGCATTGACTTGTAGCTTTCAACAGAAATGTAATGTCCTTGAGCAATGTCTCATACTGGAAAGTTTAGCGTGGGGGAATTTGAGCAGGCCTCTGTGCCCAGTGGAAGAATGAGAATGGTACCTCGACTTCTCAAGGTGCCAAGCATATCACGTTGATATCTTCCTCACCAAGGTGACACAGCGGTTATTAGGTATTCACTGTGAAGGGTTCTGAGGCATGTACATCTTTTCTGTTGCCACTAGGCTGAATGGAAATGCGTAGACAATTATCCAAAGACCCTTCTCTTTCCCCTACAGTCCTAGCCTCCCCTCACTACACACACACACACACACACACACACACACACACACACACACACACACCTCATAACTTCCCAGTATGTACCAGTCAGGATATACAGAAAAGAATTCTCTTTTTTTTTCCTCTCCTATCACACAGTTGACATCTCACTGACTTGCTGACAACCAAAAGAACCTCAGCATCCCAGAAAGTGACTCGGAATGGACCACTACCCGCTTTTCGGGCCATCCTTTTCTCAGCACTTTAGTAAGAGATGGGAATTTAAGATTCCAGCAGTACCCCAAGCTGCATCTTCTTAGGGGCAGAGACCCTATTGGGCTGCCAGAGAGGGGGCTTCCCTCCTGCTCTACAGAGGTTGGCGGGAGCCACAGCTCGAAAGGTAGAATGGACACGGGCCAGGTCTGTCCCTCTGTCTTACTACTGTGCTGGTGCCAGGGCCGCCTCTAGGCTTCTGCCAAGCCTGGCCGGGTAAGAACAGCTCCCAGGTAAGAAAGCTACGTGCTCAAAACGCTGAGTCTGAAAAAAAAAAAGGAAAGAAAGAAAACCACCCCTGCCGAGGCGAGGCAGTTGTGAGCGGGAAGCCTGAGAAGTGGGAGGTGAATGTCCTCGGGATGGCCCCCCCGGTGCAGCTTTCCCCGGAGGCTGAGGCTGCTGCCAGCGGGGACATCTGCTTTCTTACACTCCAGCCTGGCTCACCCCGCCCCCTCAGCCCCGGGTTGCGTGGTTATTTTACCAACACCGGGGGAGGGAGAGCTAGAGGAGGTAGAAAAGGGATGGATGGAAGCTTAAAAGATTTTCTTCCCACTCCCCCCAGTCCCCTCCTTTCTTCTTCACATCTTTTAACCTTCAAGGTAAAGACTATAAATATGAAACAATAAGGGAGTCTGCCGGCTGACTCGCAGGCCCGCCGTGGGCTAGCGGGACTGGCGGGGCTGCCGGGTGCCGGCCCTCGCTCTCTCCATCCTCCCGAGTCGGGCCGCGCTCGGGTCGGCGGGTTCGGCTGGGCGCTGCGGCCGGTGGTGAGCGCTCATCCCTTGGCGCCTTCGCTCCCGGGCTGCTGCCTCGACAGCTGCTTGTAGCTACAGTAATTAGACTGTCAGTGCTCGTTAGAGTAGAGAGGGGGAAACACGCTGCTGACAGCAGATTCCGAGACTCCCCAGTTTGTTAATTTCTAAGAGATCTTTAAAGCATTAATTGAGGTCTCCCCAACTCTTCCCTCCCGTCCCTCTCCCCAACTCCTCCTGTCCCAAAAATATCTTTAGGAGAAAATTCTCTCCGCGTGGAAGCAGTGTTTCCCGCAAAACTGCCAGCCCGCCCCCTGCTCATGCACACACACACCCTAGTTTACATATGCATATATAGGCGCACACGTATACGCAAGGTTAACTCGGCGGAGCACTCGTCCAAATAGGCACCGAGATTGCATTTAAAATGATAATAATAAATAAATAAATCAACTAGGAAGGAAGGGGGGAGGGAAGCAGAAGTCGGGAAGAAAAGAGAAAAGCAGCAGGCTGATTACGAGGTGTCAAAACTGCCAGGAGCAAGAAGGTGATAGCAATCAGGGGTGAGAAGAGTGCGGCATTCGTGCGGGGCAACTAATTATCCGTCTCATTTGAGAAGAGCAGCATTTGAGGCAGCAGCGTTCGCCTGCTGAACGGTGACAGATTGGCGCGGAGGAGAGGGGAGGTGTTAAAACAATGGAGCCGGGCGCGCGAGCGCTGCTGCATGCTAATCAGCCCTCCCTCCGCCTGCCTGCCGCGCTCCCTCCTTCCTCCCGCTCCCTCCTCCGCGCGTCGTCCTCCCGCCTTCGGCGCTCCCTCCTTTCCAGCGGGCCCGCCGCCGCCCGCTTCCCGCTCCCCGGCTTTCCCGCGCGCCCTGCCCGCCGCTGGCGAGCCTCACCCGGGTTGGCCGGCGGAGCTCAGCCCGCATGGGGCGCCTGGGACCCACGTTTGCGGTGCACGCCTGCCGGGCCTACCTACGGAAGAGCGGACGCCCGAGGCCCAGGGACACCCCCGGGAGGAAGAAAGAGCCAGAAAAAGCAAAGGCAGACCCAGGCAAACCTCTCCCCCACCACACGACCCCCCCCACCCCCGCCACACCACTCCGGTTCCCCGGCCCGAGTTGAACCTTCATCACCCTTACAGGCTTCCAACCGCGATGCGAGCCACCGCGCCCAGCTCGCCTGAGCTGTTGACTAGGTCAAGCCCCCCAAAGGCTGCGGGCTGTGACCCTTGCATCCCAGCACTCGGCCCTGTGCACGACTGCGCTTTAATAAGCCAGAGAGGGCCTTCAGATTAGCTGTACTTCCAAGGTCTGACCTCCTGACCCCAAGACTAGGCTAAAGGGGTTTCTGCGCCACATAGCCCAGAGAGAACCACCTAGGACCGTGGTGGGTACGACGAACGCCTTTCAAAGGCGGCCACCCTCCCTAGACCCGGGGTACCCGATGACGGGGGCCTGGACATAGCTGGTGCACTGCGTCCTTCCTTGGTCGGCTGGCCCAGGGTTCTGGCCTGTGCGATTGTGGGCATGAACAGCAGCTCCTGAAAATCCACCATAAACTGAGTCGGGGCTGCAGCCAGCCATACCTGTTGAGGTCCGCTGGGAAGCCCGCGGAGGTTTCCTAGCGGTCCCTTTGACCCGCAGAGCTGCTGACTGAGCAGAAAAACACTGGGAACTATCATTTCATCAACTCTTTTTAGGATTAAACACGTTGACGTCCCCGTGGCTGAAGTGGTTTAGCCGGAAGCCAGAAACAAAGAGCTGAAGGAGAAGGCTGTTTCTCCTAAGGCGCCGGGCTATTTTGCTAACCAGGTGCCTAAATTAACATGATAAAACTTTCCTCTAACCACAGGGGACAAATGAAAGTAAAGCAGCCGAGAGATAGCCCAGGCAGTCTAACTTTATTTTTCCACTAACTTTTACCCCCGGCTTAACTTGACGCAAACATTGCGCAGAGGCTTATGGCAAGGTTTCGTTTATCTTATTGCCTTACCCCTTCCATTGGAATAATAATTGTACAAAATAAAAGTACGTCAATATAAAATCAAGTGGCTTCAGTGACTCATGGTGTTTTTCAGTTCTCATGGATTCTAATCATTTGGAAAGCTACAGGAGTGCTCACTGTAAGTCATTTTGCCCTTTAAAATACACCCAGGCTTATCAATAAATTAATGAATGCAAAATTATTAGGATCAACTAAAGTGCTGAAAAAATTTAAATTTCTAAAAAGGGTTATATAAAGTATTTTGTGTTTGTAAGAAGAAACACTTTTGGTTTCTCCCCTGGAAAACCATGGACGAGACCTCTGCCCTCGGCCCGTCATAGGCTTTCCAGCGCTATCCTGTTAGCCTGCATTTGGAAAACTCCGTGAATCTGTTAAAATAGCAATCCATCTAACAGCAAGGGGAAAAATTACTTTCATTAATGTAAACCTGAGCTCGGCGGTTCCATCGACATCAGAATTTATTTATTAACTATTTATCAGCCTTT